ATGTTGTCGTAGATCGACTTGGGGAACGGGTTGGGCTTCTGGAAGACCATGCCCACGCGGCGGCGGAGATCGACGACGTCCAGCTTCCGATCGAGCAGGTCCTCGCCCGTCGTCTTGAGCACCATGTGCCCCTCGCAGCGGGCACCGTCGATGAGATCGTTCATGCGGTTGATCCACCGCAGGAACGTCGACTTGCCGCAGCCGGACGGCCCGATGAGGGACGTCACGTTGTTCTCGGGCATGTCGAGGTTGATGTCCTTCAGCGCCTGGAACGAGCCGTACCACGAGTTGAAATCCCGCACGCGGATGGCCGTGTCCATGTCCGTGATGGACTGGGGCACCGTCGCCTTGATGGACGAGGCCATCTGCGACTTCTCTTCGGCCGTCATGCTCTTGAGCTGCACTTCGGAGGGCGTGGTCATCGGCTTTGCTTCCGTGGTGTGGAGAGACATCTCTTGCTCACTGGAGAGGCTTCTGGAACTTCTGGCGGATCAGGACGGCGGTCATGTTGAAGAAGAAAAGGATCGCGAGCAGGACGATGATGCCCGAGGCCGCGACCGCGTGGAACTCGGCCTGCGGCTTGCCGGCCCAGTTGTAGATCTGGAGGGGGAGGACGGTGAAATCGTCGAAGACGTTGTTGGGGGTGTAGCTGATGTAGACGATGCCCGCGATGGCAAGAATAGGCGCCGCCTCGCCGATGGCGCGGCTCATCGCGAGGATCGAGCCCGTCATGATGCCCGGGATCGCGTTGGGGAGGGTCATCTTCCAGACCATCTGCCAGCGGGTCGCGCCCTGGGCGAGGACCCCCTCGCGGAGCGAATCCGGGATGGCCCGGAGCGCCTCCTGCGCGGAGATGATCACGACCGGCAGGATCACGAGCATGAGCGTCAGGCCGCCCGCCAGGGCGCCGCGCTTGAAGGGGAACCCGATGAAGAAGAACGAGTCGTAGTCGCCGATGCTGAAGGCCCAGTCGTCCGGGCCGAGATTGGAAAAGACGTTGAAGAACTGGGCGAAGACGGTGAGGCCGATGACGCCGTAGACGATGGAGGGCACGCCCGCGAGGTTGCGGATGTTCACCTCGATGAAGCTGTGGAACCTCTTGGACCACCTCCCCTTCGGGCGGAACTCCTCGAGGAAGATCGCCGTGCCGACTCCCAGGGGCAGGGCGGTTATCGCGCACACCACGAGGACGTAGAACGAGCCAAAGATCGCGGCCTTGACGCCGGACTTCTCGGCGTGGCGCGAGGGGAAGCTCGTGAGGAAGTCCAGGTCGAGGTGCTTCACGCCCTTGATCAGGATCGCGCTGAGCAGGATGATCAGGATCGCGACCGAGCTGCACGCGCAGACCTGGCAGAAGATCTTGAACCCCGCGTCGAACCGCACGCGACGCCGGTTGCGGGCCTTGGAAAACTCGAGGTTGACGGTCATTCGTACACCTCGCGGTACCTCTTGAGGACGCGCCCGCCGATGAGCGTCAGGCCGAGGGTCATAATGAAGAGCGTCGCGCCGACCGCGTACGTCGAGTAATACTCGGGCGTGCCGTAGCCGGCGTCGCCCAGGAAGACCTGCACCATGTAGGCGGTCATCGTCTGGGACGGCTCGGCGGGGTTGATCGTGAGCTGGGCCAGACCGCCGGCCGCGAGGGCCACGATCATGGTCTCGCCGACCGCCCGTGCGATGGCGAGGAGGTAGGCCGCGACGACGCCGGAGAGCGCCGCCGGGACGACGACCTTCATCGACACGTCGAATTTCGTGGAGCCCATCGCGTAGGCGCCCTCGCGCAGCGAGCGGGGCACGGCCTGCAGCGCGTCCTCCGAGAGCGAGGTCACGATCGGCAGGCACATGATGCCCACCGCGAGCCCCGCGGCGAAGATGTTGTACGAATCGAAGACCTGGACGCCGTCCTCCATCCAGAGGCCGGTGAACCACTTCATGATGCCCTGTGCCGTGGGCGTGAAGACCGTCAACGCGAGGAAGCCGTAGACCACGGTCGGGATGCCCGCGAGCACCTCGAGCACGGGCTTGAGGAACGCCCGGAGTTTCTTCGGGGCGTACTCGCTCAGGTAGACGGCGGTGATGAGCCCGAGGGGCAGGGCGAAGATCGCGCTGACCAGCGCGACCATCACCGTGCCCGAGATCAGCGGCCAGATGCCGAAGAACTTCTCAGCGCCGAGGAACGGGCTCCATTTCAGGCCGGTCGCGAACTCGGAGAAGGTGATCTCTTCGAACGCGAAGAATTCGGCGGCGCCGCTAAAGAGGACCCAGATGATCGCGAAGGAGGTCGCGACCGAAAACGCCGCGGTGAGCACGAGCGTGCCGATGACGCCTGTCTCGATCGACCGCCGCGCCCGGATCGAGCGCAGACGCCCCGTCGGCATCTCGATCGTGAACGACTTTGAAGAGGCCTCGGCCGTCGGCATGTGTCGGAGCTTTCGCCTTCGGTTCTCTCGACGGGAACGCCCCGTCGCCCTTTCCGGAAAAGCCGGATGGCGCCTTCCGGCGCCGCCCGGCCTCTTGTGTCTTCGAACGAAAACGCCCTCACGGGGAGGGCGTGGTCGGGATTACTTGTAGACCGCGGGCAGCGGGCCGTGGATCTTCTTCATGTTGCTGTCGAGGTAGTGCGTGCCCGTGGTGCGGTTGGCGATCTTGGTGCGGGCGCGGTCGTAGATGACCTGCGGGAGGCGGACGTAGCCGACTTCCTCGGCGAGGTCACCCGCGTTGTCGAGGTAGAAGTCGACGAACGCCGCGACCTCGGGACGGTCGAGGGAGTTCTTATTCACGTAGATGAACAGGGGACGGGAGAAGGGGTTGTAGGTGCCCGACTCGATGGTCTCGTTGTTCGGGGTGACGGCCTCGCCCTCGTCGTTCACGATCGGGACGACCTTGAGCTTGTCCTGGTTCTCGAAGTAGTACGCGCACCCGAAGAAGCCGATGGCGCCCTCGGAGCCCGTCACGCCGTTGACGAGGACGTTGTCGTCCTCGGAGACGGACATGTCCGAACGGATGGAACCGGTCTTGCCGGCGACGACTTCCTTGAAGTAGTCGAACGTGCCGGAGTCGGTGCCGGGGGCGTAGATGTTGATCTCGATGTCCGGCCAGCCCTGGCGGACCTGGGACCAGCGGGTGACGTTCATGCCGTCGAGGAAGATCTTCTTCAGATCGTCGACGGTCATCTGGTCGACCCAGTAGTTGTTCTTGTTGACGACGATCGAGAGGCCGTCGTACGCGACGGGGACCTCGATGAACTCGACGCCGTTCTCCATCGCGATCTTGTACTCCTTGTCCTTGATCGGACGGGAGGCGTCGGAGATGTCGGTCTCGCCGACCGAGAAGCGCTTGAAGCCGCCGCCCGTGCCGGACACGCCGACGGGGACGCGGACACGCGGGGCCTCGGTGTTGATGAATTCTTCCGCCACCGCCTCGGTGATCGGGAAGACGGTCGATGAGCCGTCGATACGGATCGTGCCCTTGAGCGGAGCGGCGGATTCGGCGATCGTCGTGGTCGCGACCGCGGCGAGCACGCCGAGGCCGGCGATCTTCGCCATGGACGAAAGGCGGGGAAGCTTGGACATGGAAACAATCTCCTGCGAGGGTTGAGCAGGGCCTCTCCCTGCGACGCGAGAAGTGTCTCCGCCCACTGTTAGGACAGCGCTAAGAACAATTACGGATTGCTCGAAATCGTGAGGGTCGTGTCAGCCCGATTTGCCAGACCTGAACACGATCCTCATCGCCCGCGCCCCATTCACGACCCCTGCTCGGCTTCTTCCGGGAGCGGCGGGATAATGATCGTAAATGTCGTGCCAGAGCCGACTTCGCTCTGCACCTCGACCCGGCCGCCGTGCACGATCGCGATGTGCTTCACGATCGCCAGACCCAGGCCGGTGCCCCCGACGGCCCTGGAACGGGCTTTATCGACCCGGTAGAACCGCTCGAAGACCCGCGGGAGGTGCTCGGCCGCGATGCCCGGCCCCCGGTCCTCGACCGCGATGGTGATCGAGCCCGCCTCCTCGTGGCGCGGGCCGAGCCGGCGGACGATAACCCGCACCGCGGTCCTCGGATGGGTGTACTTGATGGCGTTCGAGACCAGGTTCATGATCGCCTGCTCGATCAGCGGCGAATTCACGAACGCCGAGGTTTCCGGGGCCGCGTCGAGCTCGAGACGGATCTCCCGGTCGCTCGCCTCGGGCTCGAGGTGGGTGAAGACGGTCCGGACGATCTCGGCGATCTGACGCGGCTCGCGGTCGAGCTCCTCGATCGAGTCGGACTGCTCGATCCGGGTCAGCGCGAGCATGTCCTCCACGATCGCGCCGAGGCGGCCGGTGTTGCGGTCGATCACGTCCAGGAACGACTCGAACTGCGCGGGGTCTTCCAGGCTCGTCTCGCGGAGGGTCTCCACGTACCCCTTGATATTCGTGATCGGCGTGCGCAGCTCGTGGGAGACGTTGGCGGCGAAATCGGTGCGGATGCCCTCGAGACGCTTCAGGCGGGTGATGTCGTTGATGATGACCACGACGCCGGTGAGGTGCTCCTCGGCGTCGGTGAGCGAGCGCTTGACGACACGGACGACCATCGGCTGGGCGCCGTAGAGCTCGAACTGGTCGCTCGCCTTGCCGTCCTCGGCCAGGGCGTGCTTGACGAAGTCGATGAGCGCCGGCTGGTCGATGACCTCCTCGATGAGCCGCCCGCGGGCGTCCATGTCCCAGATGCCGAGCATGCGGCGAGCGGCCTTGTTGAGCCGGAGGACGCGCCGGTCCAGGTCGAGCGCGATCACGCCCGATTCCATGGATCGCAGGATCGCGTCCAGCTCGTTGCGCTGCGTCTCGAGCTGATCGATCTGCTCCTTGAGCTGACGCGCCATGTGGTTCAGGGCGCGGGTGAGATCGCGGAATTCGCGACCCGGCGCCTCGATCTGCTTCGCGGCGATCCGTCCGGAGGCGAACTCCGTGGCGACCGAGCCGAGGTTCGAGACGGCGCGCGACATGCGTCGGGAGATGAGGCTCACCACGAGGAACGAGATGATGAGGGCCGCGAGCATCACGACGATGAGCACGACGAGCAGCCGGTTCACCTGCCCGCTGACGCTCGCCTCGGCGACCGAGACGCGGATGTAGCCGAGCAGCTCCCCGTCCGGCGACTCGTGGCGCTGCGCGGTGTAGATGTAGTCGAACTGGAGGGTGTTGCTGAAGCGCGTCGCGGCGCCGCGCCCCCGCTCGCGTGCCTCGAGGACTTCCGGGCGCGTCCCGTGGTTGTCCATCGACTCGATGTCGTGGTGCGAATCGCCCAGGACCGTGCCATCCGGCGCGATGTAGGTGACGCGGACGCCCATCTCCTGCCCGACCCGCTTGGTGAACGCGTCGATCTCGACGCGCGACGCGCCGCCGGCGAGCAGCTCGGCGTACGGCTTTTTCAGGAGCGGCGCGACCCAGGTCAGGTGGCCGAGCGTCTGCTCGCGCGCGAAACCCGAGACGCGGCCGAGCGTGAACCACGCGAGCGCAAGCATCGCCACACTCTGCACCGCGATGAGCGCGAAGCCGAGGGTCCAGAACAGGGACCGCCTTCGGAGCAGACTCAGCATAGCGCCGATTCTAGGTCAGACCGGGCCGCTCAGTTCGTCGTGACCGTCGTGGACTCCGTCATGCGGTAGCCGATGCCCCGGACGGTCTCGATCACGTTCGAAAGGTCGCCCAGCTTGTTGCGGAGGCCGGCGATGTGGACGTCGACCGCGCGGCTCGAGAGGACGGTGCCCTCCCCGCGCACCGCGGTGATGATCTGCTCGCGTGTCCGGACGAAGCCGGGCCGGGTCGACAAGTAGTGGAGCAGCCGGTACTCGGTGAGCGTGAGCTGGATCTGCTCGCCGTCGACGCTCACGACGTGGCGCGCCGGGTCGATGACGATCTTGCCGTCCGCGACGAGGATCTTCTCCGACTGGTCCGCCTGCACCTCGTGCCGGCGGAGCACCGCGCTCACCCGGGCGAGGAGGACCCGCGGGGAGAAGGGCTTGGTCACGTAGTCGTCCGCGCCGAGCTCGAGGCCGACGACCACGTCCGACTCCTCGCCCCGCGCCGAGACCATGATGATCGGGATGTGGCTCTTCGCCTGCTCGCGCTTGATGCGACGGCAGACCTCCAGCCCGTCCACACCCGGGAGCATGATGTCCAGGATGAGCAGGTCGGGCTGCTTGCGCTCCACCTGCATCAGGGCCTCTTCACCGGTCGGCGCGATCTTCGTCTCGAAGCCGTTCCGGGTGAGATGGAAATCGATGAGGTTGGCGATATCAACCTCGTCTTCGACGATCAGGACAAATGGTGCTGACACGGCAGTTGCTCCTCGTGGGCACACATTGTGACGAACGCGCAAGATCCGGGAGATCGAAACGGTTAGGAATCGGTGAATTCGACCGGCATCGCCCTTCAGGACGCGGGAACGCTCCACGCCGCGGCTTTTTCGCCATCTCACGATATGACCGTTGTCCCCGCCCGTCCCGATCCTTTATAAAAGGTCTGCCTGATCCGGCACTGTGTCCGTGACCGATTTTGTATGACGGGGCCGCGCCCAGGCGCGAGCCCAGCGCGTCCACGCGTGCCGACCCGGGCGGATTCCGGCGAGATCTCGAACACGAAGGCAAGGGATGGCCAACGAGCGAGCGGCGAAAACGCCGCACAAAGACCTGACGATCTTCCGCGTGCTGGAGCCGCACAAGTGGCGGCTGCTCGGCGTGGTGGGTCTCCTGGGTCTGCTCGCGGTCGCCAACATGGCCCTGCCCTTCGCCTTCAAGCTGCTCGTCGACCGGGTCTTCCCCAAGGCCGACGGCACGGGCGGCGAGTGGCAGCTGCTCTGGTTCGTCCTGCCGGGGCTCGCGGTCATCTACGTCTTCCGCAACATCCTGTTCTTCTCCGGACGCATGGTCTCGGTGCGCATCGGCGAGGACGTCGCCTTCGATCTCCGCCGCTCGATCTACGACCACCTCCAGCGGATGAGCATCGGCTTCTACCGCTCGGCCGAGGTCGGCAAGCTCGGCTCACGCGTCATGGACGACACCCAGAAGCTCCAGCTCTTCATCCAGGATCGCCTGCCCACCTTCGTGCTGCACTCGATCATGCTGGTCATCATCCTCTCGATCCTCTTCACGGTGAACTGGCAGCTCGCGGCCGTGAGCTCCGTCGTCCTCCCGCTCCACTTCCTCGCGTACCGCGCGTTCAGCCGGCCCATCAAGCGGACCCACGCGCACGCGCAGGACATGTTCGCGAGCGCGTACGGCTCGCTCATCGAGCGGTTCCTCGGGATGGAGGTCGTCAAGGGCTTCACCGCGGAGGAGTACGAGCGCGACCAGTTCTCCCGCGCCATCGAGTCCACCCGCAAGAGCCACATCCGCACCCAGCGGTACCACTTCCTGCACAAGGTCGCGGCGGACCTGCTCATCGGCGCTGGCACCGTGGGCCTGCTCGGTTTCGGCGCGTGGCACGTCGTCAAGGGCGTCATGACCGCCGGCGAGTTCTTCATGTTTTTCGGCTACGTCATGATGCTCTACCCGACCGTGCTCGAGGTCCTCAGCGGCGGCAGCCACCTCACCCGCGCCCTCGCCTCGCTCGACCGCGTCGACGACGTCTTTTCCAACCGAAACTACGAGGAAGAGGACGCCGCGAAGCCCGCCCGCAAGGCCCCGAGCGACGTCCGCGGGTCCATCGTCTTCGAGAACGTCAGCTTCCACTACGAGGGCACCGAGCCCGTGCTGCGGGAGATGTCCTTCGAGATCAACCCGGGCGAGCACGTCGCGATCGTCGGGCCGAGCGGATCGGGCAAGACCACCCTCGCGGGGCTGATCCCCCGATTCCACGCGCCGCAGACCGGGCGCGTGCTCATCGACGGCGTCGACGCACGCGAGTGGCCCGTGCAGGAGCTGCGCAACGGCGTCGGCATCGCCTTCCAGGAGGTCTTCCTCTTCAACAAGTCGATCTTCGAGAACCTCCTCTACGCCCACCCGGACGCCACCGTCGAGGAGGTCGTCGATTCCTGCCGCATCTCCGGCGCCCACGAGTTCATCGAAAAGCTCCCCATGGGCTACGGCTCCACCCCCAGCGAGCTGGGGGGCGTCCTTTCCCGGGGCGAGCAGCAGCGGATCACCCTCGCCAGGGCCGTCCTCAAAAAGCCAAAAATCCTCATCCTGGACGAGGCGACCGCTTCTCTTGATGGCGAAACCGCTCAAAGGACGATGCGAGAGATACTCACCACGATGCGCGAGAGCACCGTGATCATCATCACTCACGACCCGGAGATCGCCGACATGGCCGATCGAGTCATCGCCATCGACAACGGCGCCGTCAACGAGGCGCTCTGCCGCGTCAACCGCAAGAGGGCCCGGGCCCAGGAGAAGCTCGACGTGGTCATCCCCGGCGCGAAGGGGGTCGCGTCGCACCTGCCGATGCTCGCCACGGCCCTTTCCACCGCCATGATCCTGCTCGGCGGTTGCGTCTCCGAGCCCGTCCAGGTCAGCCGGAGCCTCGATTTCGAGACCCCCCGCGTCAGCGCCGGGGTGTACGCCCAGCAGACCCAGGCGGACGAGCTGGACGAGATCGTCGAGGCCCTCGAGTCACGCGTCTTCGCGCGCCCCTCGATCGAAGCCTCCCGCCCGGAGGCCATCGCACGCGACGCCGAGCGGCTCCTCGACCCGAACACCGCGTTCGACGGCGTGACACGCATCCCCATGCCCCCCGAAGCGGGGCGGCTTGTCACCCTCGACAAGCTGAGCCGAACCGAGCTCAACGAGCTCATCGACGCCCTCGTGCTCAAGTACGAGACGGTCTACGGCTACGGCCCGGCCAGCGCCGCGCTGGCCGACTACCTGCCCCCGCTGCCCACCGGCGTCGCCCGCGGCGACCTCCTCGCCCGCTCGGACGCGAGCGGCCTGCACCTCATCCGCCTCGGCTACCGCACCTACCTCTCCCGCCCGGCCCAGCTCTGGGCCTTCGGCGTCGTGATCGACGGCGACGAGGCGGCGATCAACATCGACCTCAAGGCCATCGACCCCACCGTCGAGGAGGTCATGAAGAGCGTGTACGACGTGAAGGAGGGCCTCGGCGCGATCGACCTCAAGTCCGAGATCATCCAGCTGAGCTACGTCGACACGAACTCGGCGCTCCGCGCCCTGAGCGGCCTGGGGCTCAACGTCGTCACGGGCGATGCGCAGATGCCCAAGGAGATGGCCTTCACGGCGCTCCCGCTCGTCACCGCGATGCCCTCGCCCTCGCAGAATTCGCTCTCGCTCGTCGGCGGCGGCTCCGAGGTGAGCCGCGACGCCCAGGGCGTCACGCTCATCCCGAGCGTCGCCAACGAGATGTCGGAGGAGACCGTCTCCGGGCCGACGAGCCAGCTCCTCGTGCTCTACCACCCCGCGCACCCCGAGCAGTTCGCCCGCGTGCGCAACCTGCTTGAGGACCTCATCGACGTCCCGGCCCGCCAGGTCTTCATCGAGGGCATGGTGCTCGAGATCTCGGAAGAGGGCCTCGAGGACCTGGGCGTCGAGTGGCAGTTCCAGGACGCGGACGCGAGCGTCCTGCTCGGCTCGCTCAATGCCGGCCTCGCCGCGCAGACCCTGGACATCATCGCCGACGACAACCTCAACCTCGCCTCCAACCTCCGCTTCCGCCTCCGTGCGCTGGTGCAGGACGGCAAGGCGGAGATCCTCTCGCGCCCGAGCGTGCTCACGCTCGACAACCGCCAGGCGACCATCCGCGTCGGCGAGGACATCCCCATCGCCAAGAGCCAGGAGGGCACCTCGGGCGATTCCAACCGCATCGCCTTCGACTTCCGATACATCCCCACGGGCATCCTGCTCAACGTCCGCCCGCGCGTCGACTCGGAGTCCGACCAGATCTCCATGCAGATCGACACCACCGTCTCCTCCGTCGTCCCCGGCGCCGACCTGGAAATCCGCGCCTCGGACGACACCCTCCTCGCCAGCGCCCCCACCATCAGCTCCCGGCGCGTCCAGACGTACGCCCGCATCGGCAACAACACCCCGTTCATCATCGGCGGCCTCGTGAGCCGCGACCGATCCGTGATGCGCGACAAGGTCCCCTTCCTGGGCGACCTGCCCCTCGTCGGCGGGCTCTTCCGCGCCGAGCGCACCGAGACGCGCAAGACCGAGGTCATCATCGTCCTCACGCCCTACGTCCTGCCCGAGAACGAGCGCCTGGGGCGCACCACCCCGCGGTCCGAGTCCGACATGTTCAACTCGACGGGCAACGAGCTGTTCCGCGACGCGTACCGCCTCCGCGAGGACGAGGTCTTCGACCTCGCCTTCCTCACCGAAAGCCGACGCCTCGAGGTCGCCCGCACCATCGCCAACGCCGTCATCCGCAACAACTACAAGCTCGCGGACCTCATGCCCTTCAAGGAGTTCGTCGGCAACGGCACACCGGGCGAGGGCGTCCTCGTCACGCGCATGATCTACGAGGTCGTCAAGAACCGCGCCATCGACCAGAACGTCGACCCCGAGCGCCTCATCTTCTTCGTCCCCAACGAGCTCGAGGACCGCTCGGGCACGTACGCCGGCTACCGCGTGAAGTTCCTCAACTCGTTCATCACCGAGCTGGGCGGCGAGGACAAGATGGAGCGCTTCTTCGCGCAGAACCAGGGCAAAGCCCTGTACATGATGTACACCTACGACCGCGAGTCGATCGCCTCCGCGTCGCTCGGCTCCGAGCCCGTCCCCGAGACCGGCTTCATCGAATGCCGCGACCGCGAGCACTGGGGCGAGCTGCTCTGGGCGATGAACCAGCCCGACGAGCGCCGCCGCCCGCGGTACACGATCCTGCTCCAGAACGCGGACGACCTGCAGCGCCTCCGCCGCGCCGTCGCCGTGAAGCGCATCATCCAGCTCAACGGCGAGTTCGAGGGCCTCACTATCCGCAAGTTCCGCGTCGGCACGATGCTGCAGATGCCGGACTTCAAGGAGGACAAGGTCAACGTCATCGACGCCGAGACCGCGCGGTACTTCTACTACACCGAGCACTACTACCAGGCCGTCGTGAAGCGGATCGAGCAGTCCATCGACCACCTCGTCGAGACCGTCCGCTCCCCGCAGTACAACCGCTACCTCGACCCCCAGCAGGTGCCTGGGATGGGCGAGTTGCTCGAGAACGAGTGAGCCCACCCGCTCCCAAATAGCCCCGCTCGGATTCGAACCGAGGACCGAACGATTATGAGTCGCGTGCTCTAACCACTGAGCTACGGGGCCGTCGGCGCACCGCTTGGGCGTTGCGCCGGTGTGCTAGTCTAGCCGCTCATGGCGTCACGCAATCGTCGCACATCCCGCGGCAAACCCGCGCTCACCGGCGAGCTCGCCGAGGCCCTCAGGGCGTTCACGGCCGGCGACGCCCCGCGCGCCCGCGTCGCGGCCCGTCAGGTCGCCACGCGCGAGCCCGCCAACGCGAAAGCGCACGGACTGCTCGC